GGATTGAGTTGTGGAGAAGAAGTTGGATTTTGGTGTTGTTTTGAAATTTCTAAAGCGAAGATTGATAGTTGCATGTGGAGATTCTAAGTTGTTTCTATTGATTTACTTTGTTATGAATGGTTTGATTATAGTTGTATGTGTTGGGAGTTGTTGAGATTGCAAGATCTGAGGAAAATCAAAGTGGGATTTTCTATTTGAAGTTTTCTAGGGGTGATTGGTCAGTCATGGGCATGACTGATGAGTCACGGGCGTGACTAGTGAGTCACGGCCGTGATCTCTTCGAGCTTCATAATATTGCTAAGATAGGGCAAGTCACGGGTGTGACTGACTCTATTTGAGATTTTCTTCAAGAATTCCTTACTTTTGAAGGCTAAAATGTAGATTAAAGTTGTTCAAGTTGTAAATTCAAGTTGATTATATGTTGTAAGTTGAGTTTTAGTTGTCAAGTTGATGAAGTTGAAAAACCTATGCAAAGTTTGTTTTAAAGTTGTAAGTTGCTATGTTGTTAAAGGAGTGTATAGTTGTATAGAAATTGCTATAAGTTGTGTGTTGCCTATTGTTGATAATGTTATGATGATGTTGTGATATATAAGTTGTTTATGTTGTAAAGTTGTTAGAGTTGTTTATGGAAGTTGATTAAAAGTTGTTAAAATGCATTTAGTTGTTTTAAAGTTGTCAAGATGACTAGTGTTGAAAAGTTGAATGAATGATGCCTATAATTGTAAAGTTGTATAAAGATGCCTATTATTGTAAAGTTGTACCAAGATGACTATTGTTGTAAAGTTGGAGAACTATGGCTAAGATATATGTCTTATGTTGAGATACATAATACTAAGGTGATAAGTTGAAAGTTATTTTTAAAGTTAAATCTCTTAGTACTGTGTAGGCGACATGGAAGCAGTCGATCCATGTCATGGTTCAATGACCAATTCGAGTAAGGTATCTAATTAGAGATGTAGTATTTGACTAGGTACTAGAGGGTGCGTGGTACTTATTGAAGGACAATGGGTGGACTAACTCCATATGTGGATTGGTGATGCAAGCCAAGGCCATGGTAGACCCACTCCCAAACCTTTATGCCCTAACAGTAGTATTGGACCTCCGAGTCCAAGTAACACACTAGAGCAATCGCTTATTGTTGTCTACACTTGATTCTCTTCGGAGTTCCTAACAATGTATTATACCTATCCTGGTTGAGATAGTCAAATGTTAGATTCGGTAGGATTTATGCCACTTAGATTGCTCAAGCTCAGTTGTTGGAGATCTTTTAGTTATATATGCGTGACGACGCATTAGTAGATGTTGCATGGAATTGCCTATGTGATTGCATTGAAGTTGTATATTATGTTGAGTGGGTTGAAAATGTTGTTGTTTTTAGTTGATGTTAAAAGACAAAAAATTGAATTCTATTGTTGTTTATTGTATGTTGATGATGTTTTATGATGTTTATTGTTGTGAGTTTACCCTAACGCATTTCCCTTATAGTTGAGACTGCAATGACCATACCTTGATATTCGAGTAGATCAGGAATAGGTGTTGAGTCAAGATGATTGACGATCTTTTGGATGAGAAGCATCAGGGGAGCTTATATTTTGTAGTATTGATGTAATAGGCTGCCAATTGTTTTGTATAACTTATTATATCTATCACTCAGTTGTGTGTGCATATTATATATATATATATATATATATATATAATTGTATGGTTAAGATATCTTATTTTATGCATATTTATTGATGCTATCGACTGTGTAAGACCTGATGAATTGTTACAAAAATTACCTTTACTTATTTAGTTATTAAGATGAGTATGATTTATTATTATCATTATTTTGTTCAATTGGGAGTGGTAATACTTTGAATTGATTCAACTAATCTAGCGTAACTTGAGTCATAAATGTTGAGTTGGAATATATTTAAAGATAAAAGTTAATTTTTATTTATTTATTATTATTTATAGTAAAAAAACTCATTAAAATGAGATTTATAATAATTTACACACACTACTCAAATAACCGATTTAGTTTTTTTATATGAGATAAGTTAGTTTGAAACAATTAAATCAAATATAAAATTTATAGATTTGAAATGCAGTCCGACCAAATTAAAAATATCTAATTATTTTCGGTATTTAATAACTATACACTAGAAGAGTAAGAGACCGTATAAAATAGTTTATAATGATGATAAAATAAAATTATTTTATAATATTAAAACCATAACCTATTTTCTAAAAATAAATGTAAAAGATGACTAAACTCAATTGAAGTTGGATGAGTTAATTTTCACAAATTAAATAAACTCAACTTGACCTAGTCCAACCATTTTTAATAGATTAAATTGAGAATTTCCCCAAACCGACACAAGGTAACCTGTGTGAGCTCCTACTTTTTAACATGGTAAAGCATCAAATGTAACATCATGGAAAACTTGACCACTAAAGACTGCAAATCAACTTTTGTCATTTTCTTCCTCCTTGACCTCAAGTCCATTTGGTCTACTTCAAATGAATAAATCAACTTTTTTCTTCTAAATGCTTGATTGAGACTTCATGGGTTTACATGCTTTTAGCTTTTATTTTATCCTTTGGAAAGTGTCGCAAGCCTACTCTTTCACACATCAAATGTATTTAATATTTTCATTTTTTTATTATAAAATATTAAAATGATTTGATAAAAGATATTATTGATAATCTTATCTGTATTAATAATACTTAATCAGTAAAAGTCAAGTTTTATAAATAAAGTTAATTTTTAATTATCAATTTTAAAACACTACATAAATCATATTCATAAACAAAGCAAAAGATATTGAAAAATAAAAGATATTATATTACTTATCTGAGTTGTACAATGAATATTTTTTTAAATACATGATTTAGTTCATTTAATTTAATATTATTAAAGTAAATTATTAATTCTCTTCTTCATTAAAAGATGTCAATATTATATTATTCTTCATTTTTATATCGAAATATATAATTTAGTTTATTTAAGTTGATTAAAGAATAATTTTTAAAAAAACTTTAAATTATTTTTAATTAAAATTATACTTGATGTTCTAACATTAATTCTTGGATATGCATCGATATTGTTTCTCTTCATAATAGTTGCCAGTAAAATAAAAATTTTGGGAATGACAGAAGTCCTAACCAAATTTATCATTAATAATATATAAAAGAATAGAAAATGATACTTAATGGAGAAAAAATTTATGACCGAAAATATATTGTAAAGAGCTAAATAATTTAGTAACATGTAATTTTGTAAATAAATTTACCAATACATCAACAATTATTTTTTTATATTAAAAATTGTCATATAATAGAAATTATTAGATTTCCAATAAAACAAATATGATAAATGATAAAAATAAAAAGTCTTGTGTATTTTCATCTATTAAAAGAGAAAAATTGCATATTTTCAAATAAGAAAAGAGAATAAAAGTGATATTAATTTATTAGGATATGACAGTAGTGTATAATGAATTTTAGCTGTTATTTTACTTATTGATCCACTGATTATAGCAAGAGGAGTAATTGATTTTTTTCTTATTAATTCGTGCACAAAATACCAAATTAATAATATTATATTATTCTGAATTTGGTTTAGTCTATACGCCTATTTAAACCTAATCCGAGAGTGCAACAAATTTGTAAAGGTTCAACATGACCTTCAATGACATCAACAATAACTCATATCAACTAGGGAACAATTCATTGCACTTTTCAAACAAATTTTTTCATCTACATAAAAACCTTACTTAAAGATATTTGAATTTAATTTTACTCAAACAACATAATATTGATCCTATTATTAACGATATTAAATAATAGTTACACTTTTGTATCTAAAATTATAAAATTAAAATTTAGAATAATTGACGTGTGATTATTTTAATGGCTAAATGATTCGAATGCTTAATTAAATTGATTGGTACCATGGAAGTTTAAGTCAAGTTTTTGATTTTTCTTTTTCCTCCTTCCTACAGTTCCCTTGGCATTAAGGTAACAATCCCTTTCCGAGGTCTTGATCGAGCTAGCATCCAAATTGAGACTTTAATGTAAAAAAGGTGATGCTTTAGTTTTTCTAGATTATTATTCTTCTCTTTAGGTACGATAAAGTTTTTCTAATAAAAAGGCAGAAGTTTATATCATGACTATGATACATGAATGGGAGAAAATTCTAAGTTCAAAATTCTAGATATCTTGCAACTGATAATTCGTTTAGTTTCAAACCAACCCATTCATTATCCATTATTCTAATTCATTATATAGAAATAGGTGGAAGGGTCAAAAACTTTGGTAATTTATGGTGGGTGGTGAATAAAGATATTTTTTTCTAACTAGAATTATGAAATGAGTTATTTTATTCTTATAATTGTTTTATTTATATATTTTTTTCATCTCTTTCTATTTTATTATACACTTTTCTCCCTCTATTTTTCTCTTAGTTATATGAAAATCAAAAATTAATTTTTCAAAATACTAAAATGTACTTGTTAACATATTATAAAATACATTTTTCTTTTCATATGTATCTGAGTATTTATGATAACCCCATTACACAATACACAAGAATCCTACAAGGACAAGTTATCCCAAGAAGCATCGTACTAACAAAAGCAGCAGATTACAGCTAGCATGTGTGTGATCAATAATGCAGAATGTGATGATGGACTTTTTTTTTTTTTTTTTTAATGTTGAATTTTCGTATAGTTATATTATTTTAATTTCACAAATATAAAAAAATAATTTTCTTTCAAGAAGAAACATCCATTGGGTCGAGGTTTGCAAGGTGGTCAACAACTATTGTATCGTAACCGCTATCGTTGCGTCAGTTGACCGAAGTGTTCAACATACAAGTTGTGATGTGTTTCTACTTTTTTGCATTTTCCACCAATACAATTCCTTTGACTTTCTCTTCTGACCCGCCAAAATTGAATAATAATTAAAAAACGGTTCCAAGCAATCCAACGATTCTCAACTTTTCAATCTGCAAAACCAAACATTTCCTTTCAAATGAATCCACCTCCCTCCTCTCTAACAATCTAGCTTCTTTTCCTTTCAACAAACACTCTCTCTCTTTGTGATGGAACTGTTCACCCCATCGTGTCTCAAGTTTCTATTTTACTCTCTTGTGATCTTATTCCTTATTCTTACTCGTGCAAACTCTCAATCTCAGTTGCATGATCAAGAACATGCAACACTACTTAAGATAAAGCAGTCTCTTGAAAACCCTTCATTCCTCAGTCACTGGACCTCATCAAACTTCTCTTACTGCTCTTGGAAAGAGATAACATGCAACACTGGCTCTGTCACTGGTTTGACTTTGGCCAACGGAAACATCGATCAAACCATACCCTCTTTCATATGTGACCTCAAAAACCTCACACATGTTGATTTCAACAACAATTTCATTCCTGGGGAGTTCCCAACTTCTCTCAACAATTGCTCCAAGTTGGAGTACCTAGACCTGTCCATGAACAACTTTGTTGGTAGCATCCCTCATGACATTGACAGGTTCTTTAATTTGCAGTATCTTAACCTCAGTTATACCAACTTCTCTGGTGACATTCCAGCTAGCATTGGAAGGCTAAAGGAACTGAGACATCTTGATCTTCAATACTGTCTACTCAATGGAACCTTCCCTGCTGAGATTGGCAACTTGTCCAATCTTGAAACCTTGGACTTGTCCTCTAACATTTTCGCTCCTTCGAGGTTGTGATGGGTTGTTTTGTATTTTTTTTGTAGAGGTACTCTTTTAAGACGGATTTTTTAACGACGTGAGACTTTGTTTATATGGCAACAGGTTGCACAATAACTGGACACTGTTGAACAAGTTGAAGGAATTTTACATGTTTGACTCCAACTTGGTTGGGCAGATCCCTGAAACCATTGGAGACATGGTGGCTTTGGAGATTTTGGATATCTCACAAAACAGTTTGAGTGGACAAATTCCCAAGGGTTTGTTCCTGCTGAAGAATCTGAGCATAATGTTTCTTTCGAGAAACAAACTTTCTGGGGCATTACCTGATGTGGTAGAGGCATTGAATTTGACCATCATTGATCTCACACAGAATGGTATCTCAGGAAAAATACCAGATGGTTTTGGAAAGCTCCGAAAGTTAACTGGTTTGGCTTTGTCTTTGAATAACTTGCAAGGGGAGCTACCACAAAGCTTAGGCCTTCTTCCATCTTTGATAGATTTTAAAGTATTTTCCAACAATTTATCAGGTACCCTTCCTCCAGACTTTGGCCGCTCATCGATGCTTAAAACGTTTATGATTTCAACTAATACTTTTAGTGGAAAGCTACCAGAGAACTTGTGCTATAATGGTCACTTGCTTAACATATCTGTCTATGAAAATTATCTAAGTGGAGAGTTGCCACAATCACTAGGGAATTGTAGTAGCCTGATGGATCTGAAAATTTATAGTAATGAGTTTTCTGGTAGCATTCCTAGTGGTCTTTGGACTTTCAACTTGTCAAATTTCATGGTGAGCTATAATAAGTTCACTGGTGAGCTTCCTGAGAGATTGTCACCAACTATTTCACGCTTGGAGATAGATCACAATGAGTTTTATGGTAGGATTCCAACTGGGGTATCTTCATGGACTACAGTGGTAGTGTTTAAAGCCAGTAAGAACCACCTTAATGGGAGTATTCCAAAAGAGTTAACATCTCTTCCCAAGCTAACAACTCTTTGGCTTGATCATAACCAGTTCACTGGACCACTTCCATCAGATATAGTATCATGGAAGTCCCTTGCATTACTAAATTTGGGCCAAAACCAACTCTCTGGACATATCCCGGATTCAATTGGTTTGTTACCAGTCCTTAGTGAACTTGACTTGTCAGAAAACCAATTATCTGGTGAAATTCCTTCTGTACTTCCCAGACTCACCATTCTCAATCTATCCTCCAATTATTTAACAGGGAGGGTTCCAAGTGAACTTGAAAATTCTGCTTTTGCCAGAAGCTTTTTGAACAATTCTGGCCTCTGTGCTGATACCCCAACATTGAATCTCAGGTTGTGCAATTCTAGCCCTCAAAGGAAAAGCAATGACTCATCTTGGTCTCTTGCTTTGATTATAAGCCTGGTGGTTGTGGCATGCTTCCTGGCTTTGTTGACATCACTCTTGATCATCAAATTTTACAGAAAAAGAAAGCAAGGCTTGGAAGGTTCATGGAAGCTCATTTCCTTTCAAAGGCTGACTTTCACTGAATCAAACATAGTGTCATCATTGACAGAACATAACATTATTGGCAGTGGTGGATACGGTGCAGTATACCGTGTTGCAGTTGATGGTTTAGGCTATGTTGCTGTGAAAAAGATTTGGGAAAACAAGAAGTTGGACAAGAATCTTGAGACCTCATTTCACACTGAAGTTAAAATATTGAGCAACATTCGTCACAGGAACATTGTGAAGTTGATGTGCTGCATCTCTAATGAGGACTCTATGCTCCTTGTGTATGAGTATGTGGAAAACCGTAGCCTTGACAGGTGGCTGCACAGGAAGAACAAGTCATCAGCCGTGTCAGGTTCAGTCCATCATGTTGTCCTTGATTGGCCAAAGAGAGTGCATATAGCCATTGGAGCTGCACAAGGTTTGAGCTACATGCATCATGATTGCTCACCACCTATTGTGCATCGCGATGTGAAAACAAGCAACATTCTTTTGGATGCTCAATTCAATGCAAAAGTTGCTGATTTTGGTCTGGCTAGGATGTTAATGAAGCCAGGGGAACTTGCTACCATGTCATCAGTTATTGGCTCATTTGGCTATATGGCTCCAGGTGAATGACATGTCAAATTTTTGCTTCCGTCAACATAAATATCATGATAAAACTTAGATACACTACCATAACTCCTATTAATGTCATTCCCTGATCAAAATTGACATTTTATCAGTAATGATTGCCAATTTTCATTACCAAGGTATAATGTTAATATTGATTGGAGAACAACAGCATCATGTGTTTAGTACTATATCTTTGTCTAGAAATATATTGCTTTGTTAAATTTTGTGACTCATTTTCCCTTGGTACATCTCATAAGTTTAATAGAATGTTTTTCGTTATACTCGAATTGCAGAATATGTTCAAACAACTCGAGTCAGTGAAAAGATTGATGTATTCAGCTTTGGAGTGATCCTATTGGAACTGACAACTGGTAAACAAGCTAATTATGGTGATGAGCACTCATCTCTTGCAGAGTGGGCATGGCGCCACCACCAGTTAGGAAGCAACATAGAAGAGCTTCTTGACAAAGAAGTCATGGAAACTAGTTACTTGGATGGCATGTGTAAGATTTTCAAACTAGGGGTCATGTGTACTGCAACACTTCCTGCTAGTAGACCTTCCATGAAGGAGGTCCTGCAAGTATTGCTTTCTTTTGAAGAGTCATTTTCTAAAGGAGAGAGCAATATTGGCCACTATGATGATGTTCCCCTTCTTAGAAATTCAAAAAGAGAGCATAAGTTGGATGTTGATAATGATATCTAACTAGATTGGTATCATGTTGATGTTGGATACTGCTGAAAAGTGTGACTAACCAATTGAGCTTCCATGTAGATTATTGCCAACTCTCGAATTGAAGTCAGTGGAACACAGCCATATGATTGCAGATTTAGGATATTAGTACTATAGAGTGCATGGAAAATGACACAATATAAGACCAAGTACTTATTTTTGTTAAGTGAGATTAATCCTCAGGGTGGTGATTAGTAACAGGATTCTGATTAATCCCCAACAGAATCTCTCAAATACGTTGTAAATGCACTTAGTTCCTAGTCCTTAATAATTTTTTGGTATCACAATCTCCCATTTTGTGTCTATTTGATGTTTTCTAATTTTAGAGTTTTTGTCAAAAATTATTAAACCATTTCCATACAAGTAATTAGATATTCAAATAATTCTCTCAATTTCTTCTTTTATAAAAGGGAAGAACTAATGACACTTTTTCCAACACCTGTTTACTAATAATTTTCTTATTATTGATTAAAATTTATTGAAAAACACAGATTTTATGAACCTTGCATTTTATCTAGTCTTTTTCTTAATTTAGTGGTAAAATTCTTCAAAATTTGTTATTTTAAAAAGAATAATAAACAGTGTGTTAAAGTAAGTTTCACTAATATATCTATTGATAAAAAACTATGAAGAATAAATAATACTCACAAACATTATAATAATTTTAATATTGTTATTTGATCATCGACCAATATATATAGTAATTTTATTCACCTTTATAATAATAATTATATAAAATTGAAGAGGTATGATTTTTAATTAGTCAAGGTTATAGAAATTTTACACCCATTAATTTATATTTTAAAGTAAAAGTAATTAAAATAAATGATATTTATAATATCAAATCAATAGAATTGTGAATAATATGCTAAAGAAAAGCGTCACGCAAATAGTCAAAAGCCGGATGCTTCCCGGAAGATTTTGCGTATTCCAATGCTCACGTATCTGTGGTCTTATATCCTTTTATTGACTCTTCAAAGTATGAAGTATAAAATATTTGTAGTGCTAATGAAAAGGTTAAAAAAAAATAGCAAGTTGGTATTATAAGGTTGTAAAAGTATCATATAATGCAGCAATTCATCGTGGGCGTATATGGTCGCAAAACTTTGGCTGTTTCTTGGTCAGTGTTCACATTCACACGTGAATTCAGGTCAAAGTTTTGTGATGATAGATTTAAACTATTCTAGATAATTGAATTAGTTGCCCCTTGATTACTCTAGATTGATTCCTTTAACTGTAGAAAAAAAGAGGAAAAACCCAAGAAGCGTAGTGACTCCAACTAAAAGCCTTCAAACTCGTTGATTCCGAGTAAAGAAAACATCTCCAGGTTGGAAACCATAACTTGAAGGCATGGAGATATAACTTTTGGTCCAATAATAAATTCATTTTTTTCTTCTAAATATAATATAAGCAACAATCATAAATTTTTAAAGTTATTCAAATTGATTTTTTTTATATATTTTTCTTTTATTGTTAACTTTATTATTTATGTATTTATTTATGGATAACATTAAATATTACAGTAACTTAAAGTAAAAAATATATTTAAAATAAAATTTGAATTAATAATAGAATTAATTAAAAATAATCATGTTAATTATATTTTTTTTTATCTTGATAATAACTTGTCATATGTTATTTATAATTAGGATAAGAGAGAGTACTGATAATAAAGGTTAGTTTTACTAATTTATTTGGTAATTGGCGCATCTTTTCCTGCAAGATCATAACAAAAGGAGTCTCAATCCGTGGCCTCAGCAGGTCCACATCAAATTGGCATCATATGGAATAGGAAATTTGATTGCCTATTTTGAAAGCAAGCCATTGAGTCAATCATTGTTCAATTTGAGTCATATTCAGAGTGTGTGTGTGTGTGTTGCCAATAAGAAAAGTAATTGGTTCACGAGCATTATCTCTTCATTATTGAATCAAATGATACCATGTGTGAACTAGAACCAACCAAGACACCAAGATGAAAAAATTTACCTCATCATGTGTCAAAATGCAAATTCTTCGTCTTCTCTCTTTCTTCCTCTTTCTCACCTATGCAGCCTCTCAGTCTCACTCTTTGTTGTATGATCAAGAACATGCAGTCCTATTGAAGATAAAGCAATACTTGCAAAATCCACCATTCCTCCAACACTGGACCCCATCAAACTCTTCACATTGCTCTTGGGAAGAGATCAGATGCACCAATGGATCTGTCACTGCATTGACTATGTTCAACACCAACATCACTCAAAAACTGCCAACTTTCCTATGTGACCTCACAAACCTCAAACACATTGATTTTCAGTTTAATTACATTCCTGGGGAGTTTCCAACGTCTCTCTACAACTGCTCCAAGCTTGAGTACCTTGACCTCTCACAGAACTTCTTTGTTGGTAAGATTCCTGATGACATTGATCACTTGGCCAATCTACAGTTTCTTAACCTTGGTGGCAACAACTTCTCTGGTGATATTCCAGCCAGCATTGGGAGGTTGAAGGAGCTAAGAACCCTTCAACTTTATCAGTGTCTTTTCAATGGAACTTTCCCTGCTGAAATTGGCAATTTGTCCAACCTTGAATACTTGTATGTATTCTCCACCAGCATGCTCTCTCCCACAAAATTGCCATCAAGCTTGACCCAGTTGAATAAATTGAAGGTCTTTCATATGTATGAATCCAACTTGGTAGGGGAAATCCCTGAAGCCATTGGAAACATGGTGGCATTGGAGGAACTGGATTTATCAAAGAATGGTTTAAGTGGACAAATTCCCAGTGGTTTGTTCATGCTGAAAAATCTGAGTGTACTATATCTTTACAGCAACAGCCTCTCTGGGGAGATACCTGGAGTGGTTGAAGCATTCAGCTTGACAGACCTTGATCTTTCAGACAATAGTCTTAGTGGGAAAATACCAGATGATTTTGGAAAGCTTAACAACTTAACGCACTTGTCTTTGTCTATGAATCAGTTATCTGGGAAAGTACCAGAAAGCATTGGTCATCTGCCAAATCTCACTGATTTTGTTGTTTTTCTCAACAATTTGTCGGGTACACTTCCTCTAGACTTCGGTCGGTTCTCGAAGCTTGAAACATTTCAGGTTGCATCTAATAGTTTCACAGGAAGGATGCCAGAGAACTTATGCTACTGTGGAAGGTTAGTTGGTCTAACTGCTTATGACAATAACCTGAGTGGGGAGTTGCCAGAATCCTTAGGAAGTTGCAATAGCCTGCAATATCTGAGGGTTGAAAACAATGAGCTTTCTGGAAACATTCCCAGTGGTCTATGGACATCTATGAATTTGGAAACATTGATGATAAATGAAAATAAGTTCACTGGTCAGCTTCCTGAAAGATTGTCTTGGAATCTTTCATTCCTGGCCATAAGCTACAATCAGTTTTCTGGTGGAATTCCACATGGAGTGTCTTCTTGGAAAAGTGTTGTGGTGTTCAATGCCAGTAACAACTTCTTCAATGGTAGTATTCCACTAGAGCTAACATCTCTTTCCCAGCTAACAACTCTTCTGCTTGATCATAACCAGCTCACAGGGCCACTTCCATCAGATATAACATCATGGAAGTCCCTAATAACTCTAGATTTGAGCCACAATCGACTCTCTGGCGAAATTCCAGATGCAATTGCTCAGTTGCCTGCCCTTAATATTTTGGATATGTCAGCGAACAAAATCTCAGGAGAAATTCCACTTCAACTAGCCCTTACAAGAATCACAAATCTCAATCTGTCCTCCAATCATTTGACGGGGAGGATCCCAAGTGAATTTGAAAACCTTGGGTATGCTAGAAGCTTTTTGGACAATTCTGGTCTGTGCGCTGGTACCACAGTGCTAAACCTTACCTTGTGCAATTCTAGGTCTCAAAGTGCAAGAATTGAAAGAAAATCTGAGTCTCATGCTATAATGATTACCCTGGTGGTAGCAGCCTCCATACTGGCTTTGTTGTCATCATTGTTGATGATCAGAGTTTACATCAAAAGAAAGCAAGAATTGAAAAGGTCATGGAAGCTCACTTCCTTTCAGAGGCTGAGTTTCACAAAAGCAAACATTGTGTCCTCAATGTCAGAACACAATATCATTGGCAGTGGAGGATATGGTGAAGTATATCGTGTTGCTGTTGATGATTTAGGCTATGTTGCAGTGAAAAAGATATGGGGTAGCAGAACTTTAGAGCAGAAGCTTGTAAGTTCATTTCTTGCAGAAGTTGAAATACTGAGCAATATTCGTCACAAAAACATTGTAAAGTTGCTATGCTGCATCTCCAATGAGGATTCTCTGCTCCTTGTCTATGAGTATCTGGAAAACCATAGCCTTGACAGATGGCTTCACAAGAAAAGTAAGACATCACCTGTGTCAGGTTCAGTCCTTGATTGGCCAAAGAGATTGCATATAGCCATCGGAGCTGCACAAGGTTTGTGCTACATGCATCATGATTGCTTATCACCCGTTGTTCATAGAGATGTTAAAACAAGTAACATTCTGTTGGATTCTCAATTCAATGCAAAAGTTGCTGATTTTGGTCTGGCCAAGATGTTGATGAAGCCAGAAGAATTTGCTACCATGTCAGCCGTGGCTGGCACATTTGGCTATATTGCTCCAGGTGAAAACAAGTAACAAACGTATTGCTTCAGTTAAATTTTCTAGGTTTAATTATCCTTTTCATTCTTATAGTTTTATGAACTTTACTTTTTGGTCCCTATAATTGAAAATAGTCCTAATTTTTATTTTTTTTTAGTCTCTATAGTTTTATAAACTTTACCCTTTAGTTCCAATAGAAATAGACAACAAAGATTAAAAGGAATAAAAATAGTATGTATATGGACTAAAAGGTAAAGTTTATGAAACTATGAAATCAAAAAGATAATTAAACCAATTTTCTATTTCCTTTTCTATGTCATAAGTATAGTCTAAATGTTTATTTCATGCATGAATTACAGAATATGCTCAAACAACAAGAGTCAATGAGAAGATAGATGTGTATAGTTTTGGAGTAATCCTATTGGAACTGACAACTGGAAAAGAAGCCAATCATGGAGATGAATACTCATCTCTTGCGGAATGGGCGTGGCGCCACATTCAGGTAGGGACCGATGTAGAAGACATTTTGGATGAAGAAATTAAGGAAGCATGTTACATAGATGAAATGTGCAACATCTTCAAACTAGGGGTCATGTGCACTGCAACACTTCCAGCTAGTAGACCTTCCATGAAAGAAGTCCTGAAAATACTGCTCTCCTGCAGCAATCCACTTACCAATGGAGAGAAGAAAGCTGGTTTCAATGATGCTGTTCCACTTCTTGAGAATTCAAATTGGGAAAAGCAGGTGGAATTCTATAGTGATGATGATTGATGGAAGCTTGTTAGTTTGCATCCCAGTTTGAGTATCCTATATGATAATAACACAAAGGTCTCAACTTTAACAAAAAGGCTAGTCTTGAAGTCAAAATTGGAGACAATGAAACTCAAAGTACAGCGTCCGTATAACTAGATAGAGGATAGCCTAAATCAGCTCAAGTTACTTGTAGTAGAAGACTAGAAGTGCTTTGCTAATTGCAAATGGAAACTAAGCTCGGTAATATTGAAGAAAGAATTGCCATTTTATCTTGGTTTTGATTTTATGATAGTGCAAAATAGTTTCTGAGTTTTCACTTTTCTGTCCATAGACTCCCAAATATAAAGGAAGCTAACATGTAAAATTAGGAACAAAGTCCGCTAATGTCCATCGGTGAACATAAATGGGTCTTGATTGTAGGAAGAAGAAACAATAAAGCGCTTATTGTTACTCAATTTGAAAATTAGTTTTCACAATAACATGACCAACGTAATTAAGATTAAGCAGTCCATTTTTCAGTTGACTTCAAAAAAGCAAGGGCATTGGGGAGAAGACACTTAAACATGAAGTGTACCGGACTAAAGAATAATCCTTATATTAAAACTGAAACGGCCATTCACGTATGAAAATATGATATAAATGTAGTAGAATTTAGTTGCCAAACTTATAAACATGGCAATACATTATTAGATGACCGTAATCTTTTTTAACACACACGATGCTTACGAATTAAATTAACTTTTGTTACTTTACTATTCCACACCATTTTGAGAAAAACCATTGGGATATAAATACAAGTTATGTAATGCCCACAGACAAACTTCACAAGGAATGAAGCATAAGCTTGTGGATGCATCGGTTGTATAATGAGTTGCATTGTCTGCCAAGCTATTCTCTTTCGCAAGCATACAAGTAGTTCTTGAAGTGGTGACCACTCTTTAAATAATCAGCTTTACTGAGTTCATGTAGGATTAGCCAAAGTATAATTGTTGCCAGGTCCAATCTATGCAACTTATAAATAATTAAAAAGCCAACTCATCATTGATAACTCAAGCTTTGAATTGAAATCTCACCATTGTCAATAAATTAACCTGATTTATTCTCTTTGAAAACACGTTACATTGGGAAAACATGACTACTCAAGTTTACATCTCCCTATTATTCCCTAACATGGGAGAGACAAGAACTGTGAACAAAATAATGCCCCAGTGATTTGCCAAGAAGCAGCAAGGTTGCATTTGCAGCAAGAACACAGCCCTACAAATTCCCCCACAGTGGACTTGGTCCACCTTCTGGTTGAAAGCTCTCTAGAACTAGTAACTAAAGCTTTTCTTCTTCGATCTGTTTATCTATTAGGTGTACAAAAATTTGAAACTATTGTTACACTTGTTTACCTTGGCATTAATCACATCTTCAGGACTCTTGCACACCCAAATACTGGGAGTGAGAAGCAGCCAGGAGGGCTGCCCCAATTCCAGAGCCATCATTAGAATGCTCAATGCCAATTGTTTCAGCTGCCTCCTCTCCCAACAACTCCTTTAGTGTACTCTCCAAGGAACTTCTGAATTTAGTGTAGTGTTCAAACAACCCTCCATCCAGTGCTATTACTGATTTCTGCTTCTCCCCTGCCTTTACTGTGTCTCTTCCTATCTTCTTGAGGATGCCAAAAATACCAGCAGCAGAAAGGCGGGCTCCTCGAGTAGCAACGATATCACAGAGTTCCACAACAATCTTCCTCATTTTCAGGGATGTGTTATTGATCTGACGGAAAGGAAAACAGTGAGGAAACCTAATAGCTTTCATTTGGGGAGAAGAAATACCAACTTATATGTTAAGTGTCCTTGACAAAATGTGGATGAATTTGTTTATAATGAAAGACCGCAAACAACAGATTCAGAAAAATTTACTACCTTCTATATCTAATTAATTGAAAGAAAAAAAAAATAACATGATATAAATGTGTGAACAAACAAGCATATTTATATTCAACATGGTCAGAAAAGCATCCATACCTCTAATATATCCTTCAATTTGGTTCCAACCACCTTAAGATCTGAAGATGTATCATGATGCATTGCAGACATGTCAGGTGTCCTATACATCCCATAAAAAAAGACACAGAAAACTCAGAAAGCTTCAATAAGATTAAAGTAAATGGTCCAAAAAAGAAGAATAATGAAAGTAGTGCCATATAAATGAAGATGTGTACAACTCAAATCAAGGAAACACAGGTGATACAGTGACACAGAAAACTCAGAAAGCTTCAATACGATTAAAGTAAATGGTCCAAAAAAGAAGAATAATGAAGTTCCATATAAATGAAGATGTGTACAACTCAAATCAAGGAAACACAGGTGATACAGTGTAAATATACCCCCCCCCCCTCTCTCCTCCTCCCTCTCAAAACACACACATCAATTTTTGACATCCAAAAGAAGACTAATTAAGAAGCAATAAAAATGAAGAATAAAACTGTTTGAATGCTTGCATGGTAAGATAAATAAGTGAAGAAAAGAAAAGGAGAGGCCACCATTTGTATTCCACTCTTTAACAAAAAATTTCATTGTTGGTAAGGTAGAAATACAAGAAATTTCCAAAAGAAAGTCAGATAGCAAATTAATAAGTATAATCCGAGAAAATTAGTAAATGTGTGGTTGGATAAATTTGTCATACCTAAGTATGAAAGGAATTCTCAATTTTGGAGGAACAGTATCTCCAAAGAAGTCAGCTTCTTCAGCCATCTTCAACAAAACTCTCCTTACAATGTCACCCAAATACATACCAGAAATTATCTTCTCAAAAATCTGCAAACAAGAGAAGATTATTATAGATGCACATTATTCATTTAACCAATAATAGATAGATAATCATTACCTGTTCTCCAGGGTTTAAGCTCTCTGAATCAAGAGCTTGATCATATTCTGTTAGAGGGAGATAAGAGGAACGGAAATTACCCCACTCCATGTTTATAACCTATACAATCAATAAATAATCATCATGCTTTGACACACAGCCAATCATTATCTGCCTCATGAAATCATGGTAAACATAGTTCTATCCCACAAGAAAATAAGTGTCATAAATAATTAGATATTCATAATCAATTTACCATCTCTCCTGATTTTGGTAGAAGATCATGCCATTTTGGAATTGCATGTGCACGCTCTACATAAGCTGCATTTGTCCCAGTACCAAGAATCACTCCAGCAATGACATCCTGATTGCTGAATCTTGCTCTAGCTATGGTACCAACAGTGTCATTAACCTATATCAAATCACCAAGTTAGGTTTTGCCTCCAGTTTAATATTATAAGAGAAGAAAAAATTGAAACTACAAAACTCATTAATCCAAATTTTCTGCCACATGCAAAATGAAAAGTATTCTTAAAGCCAAACTTAAGGGAAAAATGAAAAAGAAGTTATGAAGAAAGGAAAGTGGGACTGACCAAAGCTGCAACACGCATATCCAGGCCAATTTTTTCAAAGGACTTGGTTAGTTCACCCACCACATCTTCTCCAACCTACAATTAACCCAAACAGAATCAATAAAAGAGTAACTGTCAGAATACCCTGCTCAACTAAAGAGTAGCCGAGAAATGAAGAGCAAACTGGTATAATGGGGATTCTCCATTTGAAAAGAGTTCATATATGATAATGATACATTTGTAAGCTATAATATAATGCAAAAACAGTAGTGTACTGACAGAGACAGAATACTCATGCATATAACAATTCATGATCAAAACAAATGAGATGATAACACGAGTGGCAAGGCAAGGCAGAAAAAATTAACTAAACAAAATCAAAGTAACAAGAATTACCACATCCTCAACATTGAAACCCTTAGTCCACTTTATTAGAGTCCCAGATGCAATTGATGTTTGCCTCACAGGAAAAGAGAAGGTAAAACCTAGTTCTCTTTGTCTGCCAGGAGGAGGGTGAAGCTCTTCAGGCTCAGAACTAACAAACTTTGCAAGTTTATCTGCTATAAAATCAAATAATTCCTGCAATTCCATAATTAAAATATTTATTTAAGAGAGTAGTTAGGCTAATTACACTGATAGATTATCTCAAAACAGACTTACATGTGAGGAACCAGTCATCAAATGAGGAGGAATGGAAACTTCTTCGGACTCTAGGTTGACAACACCTTTCTCCTTCCCACCTAAATGCACGCGAAGGGTTCGGAAGTTTGTGCCACCAAGGTCCAACGCATAAAACAGTCCTTTCTCATCCCTATAAGCAATGCACCAATGTAAACAATCACCCACAAGAGGAAGAATCCAAGAAACCATTAAATTTTACAAGTTCTCATGACGAAAAAAAATTATCCACTAAACACAGCAAAACTCAGTCATCCAAACTTCAGATTTGTTTGGATAAACTCTTCCAAAAGTACTTCTGAAAGAGGAAATTAGGAAAGATAAATAAAATAAACTTCTCCATAACCTAAAATCAGCTTACGCATAATCTAATTTTAGCTTATGGAGTAATCCTAATAGCTCTCTTCCTCCATCTTGCCTGTAGATTACCCGGAACACACCACCACAAACAATCCAAAGCCTCAGGACTAATATCATCTAAATCATCATATATTTACTCCAAAAGATAATATGAAAAGCCAAACAGAAACTCACTAAGCAGTAAGCAATCGTGTAAAACACAAAAAGTTACAAACAACAAAATCAGTTGAGTAAATAGTGTATACACTCACACTGTAACACTATCATACTATCATCCAATCACAAATTAAATCAGGGTGTATAACATATTTACTAACGTTTACAATAGCTACTTTAAAAAGTCATACCAACAATGTTTGCCGATCAATTGACACATTTCATAGAAACTAAACACAAACAACAACACAAAGCTACAAACATCAAAATCAGTTGAGTAAAGAGTGTATAACACTATCATCCAATCAGAAATTAAATTGTTAAATATAATAAATTTATTAAACTTTACAATAACTAACTTAAAAAGTCATACCAACAGTGGTTTTAGAATTTAAACTCAAAATGAGTTAAGCCTAAGAAAAGGGTAATTGGAGAAACAAACCCAGATGGGAGATTATCAACAAAAGTGATCAACATCTTGAGCTTGCTGCCACCTTCAGAAGCAAGACCCGCATGCATCTCGACGGCCATGGCATCAGCAACTTGTCTCAGCTTCGCAATTGGGGTCCCACACTGCTCCTCGAACTCCCTCACCATGGCCAGCGCGCGACCCCACTTTCCGGAGCTCCGCACGCGGTGGCGCACCAGCAGAGCCGCCGCAGCGCACGCCGCCGCGGCGCAAACGACCACAGCACCCACGGCGACCTTGCCCATGTCAGCTCTTCACGTGGGTGGAACTGGAAACGAATCTAATCCTAATCGTAATCGTAATCGGAGACAAGACAACCTCTTTCAGCTTTTTGGAAACTCCCGAGATTCTTTGTTATTTATTCGTGCGCCATGGTCGATGTCAGAACATGCGGGTTATTAGAAAACACTCTAGGGACCCAGAAACTATGGAGTCAGACCCTCCAATGTCTAATTATTTATACATATATTTTACTTTTTAAATTCATCTCTATCTTTTATCTATTCAAATTTTTATTTTATCTTCTTATCTTTATCCATTCAGTTTCTTTAAAATTATGATATTTTTAAGACTTTTAAATTTTTAACATCATTATAAAATTTAATTAATATTTAATTTTTTAAAAAAATAAATATCATTGAAATATATTTCAAGCAAAAATAATATGAAATTATTATTTTACCCTTTTTTTTATAATTATTTTTAGGAGTTTTTTACTGTATTAAATACTCTTTTTAATTTTAGTTTCAATTACATTTAATATTTTTCAGAAAAGTGAATTTAATAAGATAAATTTTAAATCTTTAATTAATCAAATATGACCCAAAATTATCTATAAAAATAATTATTATTTTAAAAAGATCATGTCAATCCAAATTTAAAAGATAACAGATTAAAATTATTATTTTAAAAGATAAAAAATAAAATATTTTTAAAAAATAAGATAAAAATAAGATTATAATTTAACATAATAATAATAATAACTCACTCTTATATATTGAATAAAAATAGTTATTTTATGCTAGAATAACAATAAATGATATTTACTCACTAAATTTGAGAGATAAACTTTAAGAGTTTTTTTATACTAGCAACTAATTAGATATTTTAATTGCGTCATATCACTATAAATACATTTACTTTTAACAGTAACATAACACAATTAAAAAATCTAATTGGTTATCAGTGTAAATAAACTTTACACTAACGGTGTATAGGTGATTAATTCAAACTTTAATTACATAATATGAATATGACACCAAAATAGGCATCACCAAAATGATGCTAAATATAATTAATATATTTGGTTTAATAAAAATTTATGTAACTTTTTAATATATTTCTAAATTTTTAGATTATTATTGTAGTAGTTGAGAAGAGATAGAGTTAGTTAGAAATATGTGGATATAAGTTTTATCTCCAACACAATTATTTTTATAATTTTTTTTCCATTTTAACAAAAGAAAAATTCTTTTAAAGTGCCAACAATAAAATAAGCATTGAAAAAGGAAAAGAACACATTAATTGAATAATGCATTAATAATAATAATAAATATTTAATATTACATTAATTATTTAAAATGATAATCAAATTAAAATGGTTAAAAGATCAAACAAAATATCAATAAGCTATTAATATGAGTGATAGCGAATTTAGTCTCCTTAAATAAGATCTTATATTAAAGTTTTATTTATAAAAAATAATTAGTTAGGACACACTAATCATTAACAAATTCGATAATACTTTGTATAATATTTACAAAATAAAAAACATCAAACAAAATAAAAGGGGTAACATTTTGATTTGTAAGTACTATATCCTTATCTAAATAATTATGATTTAAGAATTTTATACACATGTTAAAATTAAAAATAACAATAAATTTTTATTCTTTATATGGGACAATTTTACTAAAATATTTTTTATCGTCTCATAAATACATTATTTTTAACTTTAGTGTATAAAGAGACAAATTAAGAAAAACAAAATTTAATATTATAAGAAAATATCAACTATTTTAAAACTTTTCTTAAATGCTAAAATTACAATACTTTTAAAAGTTAAAGTGATAATTTTTTGACAATCAAGTAGTCACTTTTAATCAATTAATTAAATTATTTGATTTAATTTAATTGATAATTTGAATGATTAAATTATATGTGTTAATTATTAATAATATTAATTGAATAATTTTGATACCGTACTTTCCTATAATAGTTAGTTAAAATAATTAATTAAATTATTTGAGTGTAACTACTTGTTTAAATATTTTGTTATAAATTTTATTTAAATGAATTATTGATAGATTCATTTTATTTTTAAAATTTACTGAATAATAAATAATTATTACTATTTTTATATAAAAATTAAATTATTAAAATTTAATATTTTAATGACTAATATAATAATAATTGCAAAATAATATATATATATATATATATATATAAATTTTAACAAAATTGTTTTCATGAGTTTATGTGAAATATTTTTTTGAAGATCAAAGAAAAATTCTTATTACTCATATTCAGTAGAATACAAGATGTGTAATATTGATCCAGTATGTGAAATATATATAACTACTTCTTAATAAAGTTAATTAGTTAAAACATAATTAAAGCGATCAAATAGATTAAAATCAAACCATTTAATTAATCGATTAAAGTTAACTTTTTTATATTACATCATATTAACATATTATATACTTTATGATTAATCTATATTAACGATTTAGATTTGTGTATAGTGTTAATCAATCATATATCTTTTAAACCTTAAACCCTAAACCCTAAACATGTTAATGAATCATATATTTTTTAAAATTAATAATAAATTACTATTATTATTTTCACTTTACATACTTTCTTACTGAATAATTACCTTTTATTTTTTACTGATATAACAATAAATAGATTATTATTTATTTATTTTAATTAAAAAGATATAATAATTATTATTTTCACTTCATGTACTTTACTACAGCACGTATAGTGCATGGAGGTTCTGTATTTTGGTATGCCCTTGCTTAAATTTCCACGTGTAAAATGGACCACGCACAAAAATGATGAAATGGCCCTACCCACATTCTTTTTGTCGTTTGTTCATAATTTGATATCACAATGTACACTTTTTCCAAAATTAAAAATCATATATATAATGTAAATATCATATTCATGAAATAGGTTATATGGGATAAAAATTAGTTTATAAGTTAGTTAGATACTTATAAGTTATAAGTTGAAAATTGAAAAGTTAAAAAACTATAAATTACAATTGCGTATCATAGTTAACTATGATAGATTTTTTTAAGAGTTAATCACTTATACACTATTAATATAAAAAAAATTTATACTAACAATTAATTATATCTTTTAATTGTGTTATGTTATTGTTAAAAATAAATGTGTTTACAGTGATATGATACAATTAAAAGATATAATTAGTTGTCAATGTAAAAAAAATTTACATTGACAGTATATAAGTAATTAACTATTTTTCTAAATGATATTTCAATTAAAATTAATCACCTATACATTGTCAGTATAAAATTTTTTTATACTGGCAATTAATCATATCTTTTAATAGTATTATATCAATTTCTTATTCAATAAAATAAAATAATTTAAAATATATAATTAGTTGTCGGTGTAAAAAACTTTATACTCTTTATAAATAATTAACTATTTCAATTATCAAGTTTTTGTAGTGTGTACTGTGGGGAACATGCAAGGTGCAACAATGTTATGATCTACGTGAGAAGATGAACAAGGGTTAGGTAACATAATCACGTTCACATGCAACATACTCAATTCTTCCACCAATGGTTGCATCAGCTTGGATTTTGCAAATATTTGACCACTAATTAATTAATGGGTGAGCCAACTTGGAATTTTTTTCTTCTTCATTTTCATGGCAGAGCAAGTTGTTAATTAAAAAGGGTTTTGCTCATTTCTAGGATCCAACTTGGAGGCCAGGCCAACATGGATGCTAAAGGAAAAAAATGGATGTTGACTATTCTATTTCAGTGTGCGCCCCAACTTCATCAACAACTTCAGTCAATTTTGTAATAAAAAATAATAACTTTAAAGTAGGTATATAAGGATGTATTAAATTTTGTAAACCTATATTAATTTAATTTAACTAATAATCTCATGTTTAAATTTTAGATATGTAACTCTATTAAATATTTGAAAAAATAATTTTATTGTTCAACGTGTTGTCTGATTTAAATAAAGTTGTCACAAATGGAAAATACATGAAATTTAGAAGAAGAAAAATTAAGTAGTATATAATTATATATACTTATTTTAAAGACAAGTTTTATTTAAAAAAAGTTATGTGAAGTGAAGGACTTGAATGTCAAAAGATTTACACAAATGTTATGCTTTAGTACTTGTTTGAAAATAGTAAGTAAAAAAATTGTGTTCAAATATGTATTCTTTTTTCTTATTTAATTATCTGAATTTGTTGTTTACAAATAGAACAATGATTAAAGTCATAAGATTATTTTCGTGAAGCTCGTGAGAATTTTTAAATTATCAACTAATACAAGTGGGTCTCGTTCTTTTTTCAGCAAAAAAATAGTCTTGTCTTGTGAGATTTTTTTTTCTTCTTTCAACTAATACATTTTAAATGGGCACGTGTATTCGATCCTTGGTGAACGGGATTCTAATCAATCAAATCACTGTTTTAATAACAAAATCAAACTAAACAATCAAATTAATTGGATTGCATTCGTTGTTATTACATTTTCATCAAAATTTGATATTTTATTTGCCGTTGTTTTTTAAGCATAATATGATAAGTAAATAAATAAAATCAGATAATAAATACAGTAGACAATGACATGAGTGGACGTAGCCACCTCTCCGTGAAATAATGAAGAATAAAAATGATATGTAAATTTGTATATATGTACAATATTTAATCTCATCTCGATTTTGATAAAAAATAAATAAATTTTTTATTTGATTAGATATAAATTTAAATTAAGATAATATTCGATAACTAGATATAAATATGAGTAATACTTGATTTATTGTATTTTTAATAATTTAATTTATTTTTAAAAAACTTATTTGATATTTATATAATTTTTATTCTATTTTAAATTAATATTAATAAAATTTAATTAAATATAATTTGGTAATTATAATTTTATGTTAATTTTTTTAAAAAAAAATATTTAATTAATTTTTATATAAATATGGATATATTCAATATTTAATAGAGACGAAAATGAAAAAACAAATTTCATACAGATTAAATATGAAGATGAGGATGATGAGGATGAATATAAGAATTTAATTTTCTTATATTTACTTTTAGTATAATAGTGTGATTATAAATTTAGGCAAAATAGATACAATACAACGTATTCAAAATGACGGATACAAAATCTCACAATAACACATGATATATGATTATATCTATCC